AGCTAACATACAATCACGGAGTCAGATAAAGACATACCTAACTTTAAAGTCCCTGCACCCCCCCCCCTTTTTTTTTCCTAAAAAAGGTTAAATTAATAAAAATGTTACATTTTATCAAGGTCCACCATTGTAGAGTCGCCCTTCTAGGGCCACTGGTGCACACAACGCTAGCTGTCCACTTGATGCAGTCCATGTCCTGAGTTCGTGTTAGCGTGTTGCCCTGTTGGCACATCATATGCCAACAACTCCCGTATTTCCATAATAATGACATTAGCTCAATGAATAATGGATGGCTCATTAGTGACGTCATTCGCAAACGGAGCTAAGTGAAAAGTTCAAGGAATTGAAATTTAAGTCATTGTAATTTAAGAAAACTGTACCAGAAGAGACAGAACTTGTTTTTTTTTTGTTGTTTTTTTTTGTAGAAACGGGGCCGGATTTCTCACAAGGCCAACCTGGAGAGTGGCCTTAGGGGCGAATATACAGAAAAAATAACAATCCACATTTTAAATATTCAATTATATTCGCTGTTTTCGTATCGTGCACGCCATTTCGGTGAAAAACTTGAACGAAACAAAGAAGTAATCCCACCGCAAATGGCTCGTAATCGCTATATTTGTGAGCTATGTGTATTCTTTATTTCACAGCTAAATCCCACCAGCTATCAAGACGGGGCATCGTCGGCAGTTACGAGTGCTGCTGTCAGGTTATGGCCGATGGAATCGGTCTCTAGCGAAAGCACTATTATGAATGCGAATCAAAAGTTTGACGATGTAAAGGGGGAAAACTCTCGTGACTAGATTTACTTCCATGTTCATTTTATTTATTTATTTTAATTATTATTATTATTATTTATTTTATTAATTTTTTTTTTGGGGGGGGGGGATTGGATGGAGGGGGCGCATTCTTATTAGATTTGGCATAGGGCGTAGCCGCATAGGGCATAGCCGCCCTGAGTCCCTGGGGAGGGGAAATTGGATTTTTTTTTTTTTTTTTTTTTATTTTTTTTTTTTTTTTTTTTATTTGTTGTGTTGGGGGGGGGGGGGGATTGGATGGAGGGGGCGCATACTTATTAGATTTGGCATAGGGCGTAGCCGCATAGGGCATAGCCGCCCTGAGTCCCTGAGTAGAGGAAATTGGAGATGACGAGATCACCATCAATATTAATGAAAGATTTAGAGTCAGATTAAGTTTGGACAGAACGAGTTGGATTTTTTTTTAATCACTAGCGCTAAGAATTCCACTCAAAAGCCTTGAGGGGCAATTTCTCTCTCTCTCTCTTTCTCTCTCTTTCTCTCTTTCTTTCTTTCTTTCTTTCTTTCTTTCTTTCTTTACGGACATTTTAACATGTAAATTAATGGACAGTTGGTTGCCCTGGTTTTACATTGAAGAGAGGCGAACGGAAAGTGTGACGTCAAGCATTCAAATGATATTTTGTTACAAGCTCGAATATGAAATACAAACAAAAACCTTATTAACAAACCACAGATTAAAAGAAGCTTTACAGCGCTTCCTATGTAAAAATGCTGCTTCCTGTGTGGCAGTGATGTTTCCTGTGTCACATTGCTGCTTCCTGTGTAACAATGCTCCATTCAGTGTGACATTACTGCTTTCTGAGTGACAGGGCTGCTTCCTATGTGACATTACTGCTTCCTGTGTGACAGGGCTGCTTCCTATGTGACATTACTGCTTCCTGTGTGACAGGGCTGCTTCCTGTGTGACATTGCTGCATCATGTGTGACATTGTTGCTTCCTGTGTAACAGGGCTGCTGCCTGTGTGACATTACTGCTTCCTGTGTGACAGGGCTGCTTCCTATGTGACATTACTGCTTCCTGTGGGACATTGCTGCATCATGTGTGACATTGCTGCTTCCTGCGTAACAATGCTCCTTCCTGTGTAACATTACAGCTTCCTGTGTAACATTGCCACTTCCTCATGTAACATTGCTGCTTCCTATGCAACATTGCTGCATCATGTGTAACATTGCTGATTCCTCGTAACATTGCTGCTTCCTTGTGTAACATTGCAGCTTCCTGTGTAACATTTCTACTTCCTTTGTAACATTGGTGCTTTCTTGTGTAATATTGCTTCTTCCTTATGTAAGAATGCTGCTTCCTGGGTGATATTCCTGCTTCCTGATTAACATTGCTGTTCCCTCTGTAACATGGCTGCTTCATTTGTAACATTGCTAATCAAATCTTTCAGGAAACTTTACTTATATACATGATTTTTTTTTTCGTGTTTATATAATATAAATATTTTTAAATGAAAAAGTCGAAAAGCTTTGCTGTTAAATATTTTTTCTTTTATTTTAATAGTTGGTATCCTTCTACTGAGATTGTGGAAGGTGGAAGAAACGCATTTCATGCCATTGGAAATGTCTGGATCTAGAGATGTACGTTCGTGTGTTTCCTTGTCATATTATGTGAGCCACACAGATGTAAATGAAACAACCCTTCAATACAACCATTCTCGTAGACATCCTTTATAAAATCATCGGGGAAAAACTTATTTTGTGGGTTTGTTTGGGTGGGGCCGAAAATTTGGGACGAATGTGTTGTTTCGGCAACGAGTCTATGTGGCAAGTTTCAGTTGGATACGTTGACGGGAAGTGTGTCCATTAGCCATCCGAAGATTTTGCCATAAACAATCACAAGAACCAAAACTAAGACCATCGGTGAACGCTCCTTCTACTTCCATGCGCCCACGTTCTGGAACCAGCTGCCATTCCATATCCGTCATTGTGAAACCTCGTCCATTTTCAAAGAGTCCCTTAAAACTCATCTGTTTAGGTCCGCCTATGACCTGTGATGCACCCTCCTTGCCCTGCCTCATTTTCTGTCTCGGGTTAATCCTGTAATATAGGCCAAAACGTGCCAAAGTTTCCTCGTTTTATAGCTATTTTCATTGTTTCTATAGTATAGTAGTTACTATCCTAGTGTCTCATTTTTATTTTACTTAGTTTACATGTTTTTAATAATTGTAAAGCGCTTAGAGCTTTAAGGTAAGCGCTATATAAAAATGACTAAATAAATAAATGAATAAAAGCGAAGTTAATATAAAGGATTTTTTTTTTAATCATAATTTTTCGCTACGTCTTGGTCGTCCATTGACGTTTGGTGTACGTTTTTATTGGTGCTCAGAAACGAACGTCTTACACCTGCGCGTGGTGTGTAAGACAGCTTTGCTCATTACATGAGAGCATTGTGTTGAGTGTAAGATAGCTTTGCTCATTACATGAGAGCATTGTGTTGAGTGTAAGATAGCTTTGCTCATTACATGAGAGCATTGTGTTGAGTGTAAGATAGCTTTGCTCATTACATGAGAGCATTGTGTTGAGTGTAAGATAGCTTTGCTCATTACATGAGAGCATTGTGTTGAGTGTAAGATAGCTTTGCTCATTACATGAGAGCATTGTGTTGAGTGTAAGATAGCTTTGCTCATTACATGAGAGCATTGTGTTGAGTGTAAGATAGCTTTGCTCATTACATGAGAGCATTGTGTTGAGTGTAAGATAGCTTTGCTCATTACATGAGAGCATTGTGTTGAGTGTTAATTCATAATGTCAACTTGACCCCTCGTCAGAGTAAATACCACCGCAGGCGACGCCTCTGCTTGTCATAGGTCTTTCTTTGATTGAGTTGTGAGCCTTTTTTAAACTTATGCAATGCACAAGGTCACACTATCCTGTGTGGATCAGTAGTTATCTGTGCACAAGGTCACACTATCCTGTGTACATCGGCTGTTAGCTGTGCATTACGTCACACAATCTTGTGTTTATCGGCTGTTAGCTGTGCACAAGGTCACCCCATCCTGTGATTATAGATTGTTATCTGTGCACAAGGTCGCACAATCTTGTGTTTATCGGCTGTTAGCTGTGCACAAGGTCACCCCATCCTGTGATTATATTGTTATCTGTGCACAGGGTTACACAATCTTGTGTTTATCGGCTGTTAGCTGTGCACAAGGTCACCCCATCCTGTGATTATAGATTGTTATATGTGCACAGGGTCACGCAATCTTGTGTTTATCGGCTGTTAGCTGTGCACAAGGTCACCCCATCCTGTGATTATAGATTGTTATCTGTGCACAGGGTCACGCAATCTTGTGTTTATCGGCTGTTAGCTGTGCACAAGGTCACCCCATCCTGTGATTATAGATTGTTATCTGTGCACAGGGTC